CCAAGGCAGGGGATAATGACCCATTTGTATTCATAAGACTATTGTTCAAAAGATTAATTAAAAGGCAGAGCATTTTTAGCCATCTGTGCTAATTTAGGGGAAGAATGGAAATATAATTGTTATCTGTAACTGAGAAGTTCACACGATCCCCCTTGGAACCCGAACATTAACATCTCTCCGAGAGACAGCTCGACTTAAGCAAATCGTTGCCACCATGCCTCCCAAATTAGCCAAATTAAATGAGGGTGATTTAAAATTGGGGGACCGGAAATCATCTGCCAGTGAGAAGACAGGCTCTTTCCCCCAAGTTTGGGGAAATTGAATCCTCAAGAGCCCGGCCGGGGGGCTGCTGTCCCCACCCACGCCTGGGCTGCCAGGCCGGGTTCCAGTCACAGGAGTGAGGATGGACACTTTGGGCATAAATAATGCAGCAGGGAAATCAGGTCAGCTGCGGTGGGGACACAGCCAGCCCCAGGGTCCCCTCACTTCCTCCTGAGTGGCTCTGCGGAGCTCGGAGTTGGTGACCCAAAACCTCTGTCCCTGTGGGGCCACTGGGCAACACCAGCCTGCAGGACTGCTAGACCAATGAAAAGCAAGCAACCAGGCAGGGGTGCAGGGGGAGGGAAGGCGGGTTCTGGGCCAAGGAAGGGACCCTCGCATGTCCCAGTCTGAGCCCAGTGCACTGTGCAGCAGTCTAAAGATGGGACCTGGCTCCAGGGAGGTGGAGACCCAAACCCAAGTCTGACTCCAGCCACCCAAGTACAGGGAAGGGAGTCACCTTCGGGAGCCTAGAGCTCCAGGAGGGCAGGGCTCTCAGCAAGCTCCCAGGCAGATCCCGGAGTCCTCAGGTGCCCCCTCGCACACTGATGCACTCACAGTTGGACTGGCCAGTTCGTGAGGGACAGAAAGAAATGCGATCATCACAGCCACCTGCGTGCACAGAGGCAGGAGCACAAACTCACACAGCGCTCGCATGTACACAGGTGTTCATAGGCCCACGTCGACCACACCCACAGCACAGAGGCAGAAACGAGAGTCTGGAACCTGGCCTGGATGTGCACCAGCCACCCATCCGGCAGGTCTGGAGACTCTGGGCTTAGTCCTTATCTGCAGACTGGTAGCACAGGGCCCCTGGGGTTGGGGAGCTTTGCCTGGACCTGCCACTGATCCCTGGCCTGCTCTTCCGCACCCCTCCACGGCAGGGCTGGTCCGACACTGCTCCTATCACCAGCTCCAGGCAGTGACCACTGGCCCCCCAAAGCAGGCGAGCAGTCTGCCAAGTGTCTCAGTGTGGAGTCGGCTCCCCCAAAGGACTGAGGATCAGGAGAGAGCTCCCGTGCTACGACACAACACTGACCATGGACTGCTACTCCGACAGGCTGTCACAGGGCCCCAGGCCCCCCATGCAGCGCCCCCTGACACTGTGGTGTGTAACTCCAGCCTGTCACTCTCCCTGCACACCCAGGTCATGTGACACACCCAAAAATGAACCGAGAACCCACACCCAAGTGCTCTGTGCAAACATCCAGCCAGGGGCCGAGGAGACTAGCGCGCTTCTCCTCCCCTGGCCTATCCCTGAGAAGTTATGGCTGTGAAGCACCTTCCCCCTTCCTGGACCCCCGCATTCAGCCATGACCCTGCCAGACCTCCCCAAACATCCCTCCCACCGCTGGGGACTCACCCTGCCTCTTGCATCTCAGTCAAACCAAGTAGACACCCCCACATGAGAGCCAATGAGTGGGCAGCCCTGTTCTGGGCAACTGGGGGAAGCCTAGGTCACACCCCGCCCCTGACCTGCAGGAGCTACGATCCAGGAGAAGGGGCGGGGAAGTCAGGACCTCAGCCACACTGCTGCTAGCCAGGGTGTCCACCTCGGAGCAAGGCAGGTCGGGGCCCCAGGAGCAAGGACTTCGGATGAAGCAAGTCTGGGTGGAGCGAGGCCAGCCGAGGTTCCAGGGTCCCCTGTTTCATTATGGTGGGGGAGGGGAGACCTCTCTCTAAGGAAAACCACCCATTCCTGGATGGGCAGACAGAGGCCACGGGACAGCAGAACTCAAGGTCAAGGTCACGTTCCAAACTGCTCTTCTGTTTGAGCTCTTCCTGCTGCTGTGGGGAAGGGGATGCCACACTCCCCAGCCTCGGGCGGATCCACACCAGAGGGCGCTCCTTCTAAAGGACACCCTCTGGGGTCTCACCCCAGCTCTCCGAGAGCCCAGGTCTGCACGGTCCCAGACTCTCACGCCCCTCCTGCACCCATGCACACTGTCCTTCCCACAACCCACCCACCCTGACCGACTGTGGGAAAGGACACTCCCTCCGCCTGGCCCCTGAGAGCCGCAGGCCCCGTGCTCTCCCCACACCACTGACCTCTGCCTGCAGAGAGCCTTGGGGATCGCTCCTCTCTGTACGGAGTTCAGGCAGCTGCGCCTTGAGGCCGGGTGTGGCCCCTCTGGGGACGGGACGGGGAGATGGAGTGGGACAGCAGGGAGAAGCCAGGGAAGGAGACCGGAGGACGTCCACAGCGCAGAGCAGGGCCACTGCGGGGAGGCCAGGGAGGGCGGGGAGGGCCGCAGCCAGCAGGGCAGCACAGGGGCTGCTCAGTGGGTCGCTCGGCGATGGGCAGGAGTGAGGGGGAGAAAACTTCAGGATTGCTGCCGGGCAGGGGAGGAGAGGAGGGGCTGAGGGTGGGTGGCATCGCCAACAAACGGATTTATTCAGAGAACACAAGGATTTTACAGAACCCTGAGCCAGATCAGCAAGCACACTTCTTAGACAACAGAATGAGCTTCGCTCAAGGAAAGTCAACAGCTGGCTGTGTAAAGACGCTCCCTGCACACACACACACACACACACACACACACACTAAAGACACTTCCCAGACATTCGATCCTGCCATCTGTTTTCAAAATCAGCTGAACGAGGGTGAGGGGAAGGATGAACCCCAGAAGCCGCTCCGGTGGGGCGAGGGACCGTGGAGAAACAGAAGGGCCGGGGAAGTCTCACTGGAAGGCAAAGCAGCCGGTGGCTTCCCGCCCACAGATGTCACTCGGGAGGGCGGCATCGCCTGTGACAGCACACTCCCAGATGGCGCGAGGACACAGAGGACAGGAGCATCCTGGCGGCAGGGACGGCCACACCTCCATCAGAACACGCACGACACGGCACCCTCCAGAAGAAAACATTCTGTGAACCCCGGAGAGCAGCGGATAAAAACCTCTAACTCAGGAAGAAGACGAAGGTCTGAGCGGCCCTGAGGGTTTTGCGAAGGCAAGAAGGAGCGGGGTTTCTGACCAGGGAGGGGGACAAAAGGGACAAGTTACGCGACTAAGATAGATAGAGAGAGAGATAGATAGATAGATAGATAGATAGATAGATAGATAGACAGACAGATGATGGAAAGATAGGTGACAGATAATGCATACGGATGATGATAAGTAGATAGATAATTGATAAATAAAAAAGAGATTGTAAATAGATGATACATATAGATGGGGGATGGGTATATAGATAATAGATAGATAATATGAGGTCACAAGTTTGAACCCCAATACCAAAAAAAGATAGTGATAGTAGATAGATAGATGATACATGGGTGGATTATAGATAGACAGATGATACATATAGAGGGATGGTAAATAAGTCGGGAGATAACAGGTGATTGATAGATAGATAGATACATAGATACATAGACAGACAGACTGCCAAGCCGGGATATGCAAAGTTGTAACACAACCACGAAGCCGAAATCCAGTTCCGTAGCACCCAAGCCAGCCGTTGCTCCTGGGGTAGAAGCCCCTAAAATTCGGGGACTCTGGACAGCTCACCTGAGGCCCCCCTGCCTGCCTCTCCCCTGCTGGCTCCCCCTGGCTTGTGCAGAAGTGAGGTACAGGGGGACCAGCCCTGAGCCATGCAGCTGCCAGGTGACCCGCTTGGCTCTGCTTAGCTCGTCGAAGAGAGACCAGGGCCGCTGCTGTGGGCCGCTGTGATGGCCCGAGGTTCCAGCTGCTGGAGCCGGGCTGGAGCCCGTGCTGGAGAGCTCCATCCGCTTAACGGCTCAGGGCTCAGAAGTGCTTCCAGGAAACGGGTCTTTTTTGGTTTTGTTTTGTTTTGCTTTTTCCCGTGCTATTGCAAACTTCTACTCCAGGAGGGAAAAGAGTAGGTCATGTACCCTACAGAAAACACCTACTGCTGTGTTACCAACTGAAGGTGTTGCCAACCGTTCTAACAAATCAAACCCCAGACAGATGACTGACAGATACATAGATACATAGAGTTGATAGGTGATAGATGAGTGATGGATGGATAGATGAGAGATAGATAATTGATGGATATGTAAATATACAGAGTAGACTGATGACAGATAATTGATGGATGGATGAACAGGCAGGTGAGAGACAGAGGATTGATGGATTGATTGATTGACAGATTGATACATAGATGACAGGTAAAGGCAGCAGCTAAGTGTAACCCAAGCACGGTTCCACCCAGCTGAGAGATGACAGCGTGGTTCTTTTGTTACAGATTTCACACCCCAAACCTGCTGTGGCCCCCAGGGACCCCAAATACTACATGTGAGAAGGGAAGAGCCGGGCTGGGGTTCTGGGCAGCGGCTTGTGGAGCCGGGAGGGGTCCCCAGTTTGCACCGTCTCCATTCCATCCCACTCTGTCTCAAAGTCGCCAGGTCGGGGCAGGCACAGGAAGAAAACATCTTCACGGGAAATCATGCTCAGAGGAGAGCCAGAGACAGATGCAGCCGGGCCTCCCCCAGTCCGGGAAGAGGACATCACCCCAGGCCCGGTCTGCACCCCGTTCCTCCAGCCCCACCGTCCTCATGCCGCCTCTGCTGGGCCCACTCTGCCCACCCCGACCTGCTCCCAGGGTCTCCCCACTCCTCCACACCCTCCCATCCCCCTTACAGACCCTGACAGCTTCCTGGCAGGCCTTACCTTTTAGAGGAGAGCGTTTCCTCCCCACCCCTCTCCCCACTGCCCCCCTACCCTGGGCAGCGCACCTGTATCCAGTGCGACCTCCTTGGCCCTGGTCTGCACATGGAACCCTGTTTGCTAGGCACATTCTGTGGGTTTGGTCAAATGCAGAACAGCAGGTGTCACTGCTAGAGGTCATTCATGGCCATTACACTGCCCTAAAACCCCTCTGTGCGTCACCCTGTCACGCCAGACCCTGCCTACTCCCCTGGTGCTGCGCTGTGAGGAGCCTGAGGCCACGTACACTGCACACCAGGCCCAGGCTCACTGTCCAGCCTGGCTCCATCTGAACCCGTGCTGTGGCGAAGCTGCTCCTCCCAGCAAGACCGGCTACAGTGACGTAGTCTGGACCCCACTGGGAGGAGCAGACAGGTGACTGCCCTGCAGACAACGGGAGGGAGAGTTTGGGAGGAGCCCAAAGTCTCATTGCTGAGACAAAACACCCAACACCCAACATGAAGCGAGGAAAGGTTTATTTGGCTTGAAGTCTGTGGAGGTTTCAGTCGGTACTCGGCTGGCCCCAAGGCAGGGTGGCACAGCACTGGGGCAACACTTGAGGGCAGCAGCCAGAGCACAAAGGGGGGAACAAGCCTGTTCTCCCTTACATTGTAAGCAGCACCTCCCCGCCTCGACACACTAGGGCAGGCACTCACAAAATCTCCTTGCCCTCCTCTTGCACAGCTGAGTAAGGACCCTGGCTCCCTGCTGAGTCCCTGTTAAACTTGTAAACTTCTCAAGCTGACACAGTGGATCACCTGTAACAACCACAGAGGCCTCAGACCCGGTCCCCTGACCCTGAGGTCCTGGGAGCCACCAGCACCATCACATCCCCCAGTGGAGGCGCAGCTCCCACAGATGGACTCTGGGCAGGGCGAGCTGGGGTGAGTGGAGGAGGCAGAGAGGCCAGGGAACCCATCCAGTGAGGAGACAGGCGGGCTGGTGACCGGAGGTCAGGCAGGCAGGATAAACAGGGAAGGACACGGTGTGGACGGGAAACAGCAAGAAGGCCATCAAGGAGACCCCGGAAGGGCACTGAGCCGCGGCCATGCCAGGGACAAGGAGCGCAGGGATTGAGAACCAGAGGGGCCATTCATCTGGAAGCGGGGGGGGGCTGCTCTGGGGAGCACTGTGCCCGCCGCCATTCCCGGGAAGGTCAGGAGCTTTGCCTCCACTCTTCCGATGACAGAGGAGCCGTGGGTCTGAGCAGAGGCCTGGGATGGATGCAGACCTGGACCCCAGACGCAGCCATAAAGGTGTTGGCATTAGGGTCGGGGACAGCAGAGCCCTGCAGCAGGATCGGGGCGTGGGGGGCGTCACGAGACAGGACCACCGTGTTGTGCAGGGACCACCACGGTGTGACCCTCAAGAGCAGGAGCAGCAGCTCAGAGGTCGGGGGCCTCTGTGGGGCACCATCTAATGGCACCGTGCACAGGGGTTTGTCAGCCCAGCTCGGAGCTCAGGTCCCCTTGATGGAGTCCAACATGGAGAAGCAGCCCAGGGTCACCCAGAGCACAGCCCCACAGCTGTGCCCCTCACCCACCCCGCCCAGGGACGCCTGGGGCCGGTCCTGCCCTGTGGAGAGAGCCCTTCCAGCTGCCATGCTGCCAAACGTGGAGGGAGAGCGAGGGGGAAATTCAATTTACAACTGCAAATTGGAACTCGGTTGCGGGAGCCCAGGATCATCGTGCTCAGGAGACAGATGGTGAGGAAGCGTCCCGGCCCAGTCGTCCTAACACATCCCAAGAGGCGGGGAGGGTGCCAGAGGGGCTCCCTGTCCCCACACCCTACCCTCAATGTCACTCAGCCCTACTCGCCACCGTGGTCCAAGGCAAAGGTCCTGGGGCCCAAGGGTGAGCAACCAAGCACACACACTGCACAGCTGCCAGCAGCGGTGGGGGCGGGGGACAGGCCACTCTCCCCGGCCATCTCTAAATGAAGGACAGGACAGCGTGCCCAGGGGTTACCAGCCCTGGCTCCTGTCCGTGGCAGGTGGGGGACACAGAGGAGAGGAGCCAGCACACATACTTCTCGCCAAGGAGAGCAGGTGTGCAGGGATGGATCGGGCGCTGCCCGGCCCCTGTTCCACTCGCAGTGCCTGGGGCAGAGCCTGCCCGCCCTGCTCACCCCTGTCTGCTGGGGAGAAGGCACTGCTCCGAGAATGGTGGGCCCAGCAAGGGCGCTGCCCACGTGACTGCTATCAGAGAGCTTGCTGGTTTCCTGTTCCAGGGCCGGCCAATGGCCAGGTGGGGAGAACGCAGCATAGACACTGCAAGGTAGGCCAGGGTTCAAGGACCAGGCCCCAGAGATGGAACCCAGCACAGCCAGACCAGGTTGCTCATGAGGGTGGCGGGTAAGGAAGTACAAGGACACAGGTCAAACCCTAACGGATCTTAGGGAACATGGCAGAGAAAGGAAAGGAGACCCCAAAAGCAGAAGCACCCGAGCAGACACCCAGCGGAAGGGCAGCTGGGGATTCCAGAAAGGTCTGTGGCTGAGTCCCCCACGCCAACCGGAAACGGCCAACACGAGACGGAAGCAGAGAGTGTCAAGGACAATAAAATGCCAACACAGGCACACTCATGTCACAGCAGCGGGCGGCAGGAGGGCTGGCCAGGGAGAGGAGCGGGAGGGAAGGAGGAGGGCGGGAGGGATGGGGCCCCTCGAGCTCCTGAACCCCCAGCGGGCACCGGGTGGCCTCCAGCTTCCAGGTGCACATTGGAGTTCCAGCCTGGAACCAGTGAGGACAGAAGCACCGACGGCTCGAAGGTCCCCACGACTGGCACCTCCCTTCCTGTTCCTAAGTGCTTTCGGCGTGAACCCGGAGAACTGCGAACTGCGTGGTTTCGGGTGCTTCCTTCTCAGCCACCTGTATCTCCCGAGGGAGGGAGTGTTGAAAAGAAAGATGCGTAACTGCTGAAGGCCGTGTGAATCCCTGGGACACAGATCCCACCTGCTCCCCACAGAAAGCCTGCGCAGAGGGAAACTGAGGCAGGGCTCCCCTCACCCCATGCACTTGCCCCTGCCTCCAACACAACTGCCCTCAGTCCTGGCTTGATGCCTGGAACCCTTGAGGAAGTCACAAGGCAGGGGGACACAGCCCATGACGGGCACCCAACACGGGCCAGGTGCCGGCCGGCGCTGTGTTTAAGGTGTCACCCAGGCAAGGGGACTCGCTGGCTCACTTCCTCACTGATTCATTTGTGAACTGTGAAAACAGCCTCACAAATGTGCACAGAGAGCTTTGCAAGGTTCTTGGGGACAAAACACGGGAGCAGCAGCAGGGCCCCCACCCCAGCCGGCTCTCCCTAAAGAGAAGTCTCCGGCCAGCTGCAAAGTGGGCTCCCGGCCGTCTCTCCGGCCACACACGACAGGCTGGCCTCGCATCCCATCCCACTGGCCCTAGGCCTCGCCAAGTCCACATCCCGGAGCTGGCACAGCAGAGTCACCGTCTGTGGCATAAAACTCGGGGAAGAATCTCCTAGCAGTCCTGGAGGCTGACGTCCAGCGTCAAGGTTTGGGCAGCACTGATTCCTTGGAGACCACTCTCCTGGGTCCATAGGTCCCTGCGTCCTCACAGCGTCCCCCGGGCACAAATGTATCCTTCTTGTAAGAACACTGGTCAGACTGGCCTGAGGTCAACCTCTGGCTTCACTTCAGATAAATCCTTCTTTAAACATCCTGTCCCCAGACAGACAGGACCTGGTGCTGGTGGAGAGGACACCAGGGCTGAATTAGAGAGGGATCCCCACCCGCCCCACTAGCTTCTCTGGGCCTTAATCTCCTCATCTACAAAGGAGGCATCCTAACACCAGCCCTTCAAGCCCCCAGAACAGAGCCACCAGTCCGGCTGGGAGACGCTGGGCTGTCACCCTCTCCTCTCCACACACAGGAAGCAAGCGAGATTGGGCAACCCTGTGACAACCAGGGCTCGCGGGCAGGAGAGGACATTAGCACATCTGCCAGCAGAGAAAGTCCTTTAAGAAAAGACAGGAGCACAAGGTCAGCGCTGCCCTGCCAGACCGTCCACTCAGCAGCTAATTACACCGCCAGCCCAGCCGCTGGCATTAGAGGCGCACGAGACCAGCTCTTCAGTGCTACTGTTTAAAAAGAAGGCAGTCTCCGGGTGGGAGGCTTTGGCGTTTCATCTGAATTCCATAATGAATAATTTATATAAAAGCTTTACTGGAGCCCAGAGTTCCACAATAAATGTTCCAGGAGAACAGACGCAAATACTTCAGCATCGATACCCCTCCGGTGGATCCGGCTGGCGGACCAAAGCAGATTTGAGCTGCCACACTGCTTATTTACAAAAAATGCCATAATCGCATGTTTATTTGCATTTTTCCAGGCACCCGCGCAGTGACGGATGTGAGAGGGGGGCAGGCAGCACAGGCAGCTGCTGCTGCTGCTCCGGGAGGGAGAAGGGGTCGGGCTTGGTGCGGGAGGCACAGAGTGGACCACAGCTGCCTCCGCGCAAGGTTAGCAGGACGGGCAGGAGAAGGGCCCAGCTCCCGGCAGAGGGGCAGCCCTGAGCCCAGGGCGGAGAGGGAAGCCTTCCCCAATGCTGTGCCCAGGGCTTGAGGCGCTTGGATAGGGAGAGAGGAGACCTCGGTTCAAATCCTCCTCCTTGTCCTTGTGAGTAAGAGGGGAAGAGAATCCTCCTTCAGGGATCCCCCATTGGTGCCCCATGGCACTGGGGGACAGGGGATGCCCAGGGGCACAGGTGGGTACTCACCACCCAGTAGTCCTCCAGTCCTTAATGTCTTCTAGACAGTTTATCTTCCTCCTGAGTGTCTGCCTGTCCTTAGCAGGAGCATTAGGCCAGCCGATCACTCTCACTGTCCTTCTGAGGGTTCCTCTGTCCCCCGACCCCACACAAGCCCAGAGAGAGGGGACGGCGATGGAGGAGACATCGGGCCACCTCCATCCCAAGAACCCCTTGGGAGCCACCTGTGCTTTCTGCTGCTGAGGACACTTGTCCCTGGGTCGTAGGGGAGGGGACAGATGCGGTGACACAGTTGGGTGGGCCGAAAATAGCTCAGGTTCCTACACATGACAAGGACAGAATTGCCAAGAGTAGGGCTGATAGTGTGGAATGAGTTTATTAAAGATCTCAGCGCAGCAGCAGCAGCAGTGCAGAAGGACAAAGAGGGTAAGAGAAGGGGTTTGACAACTCGGGCCTTTGGCATTCACAGGTTGGACGCCCATACTGTTCACAGACGCCTCCCACCGTCGCCCTGCTGACATCAGCGATCCGCAGGTCCTTCTGAGCTTAAACCTGGTTCTCTTATGGGTGAATGGAGAGCTGGGTGCTGACAGAGAGAGGCAGGGACAATGGCAGAGGAGGCAGACATGTCCAGCTGGGTCCCTGGGCAGCGACTAAACTGCGTTGCCCATGGTCTCGGGGGTGGGGCTGCCCGGTCACAAGGGTTTTTAAGAGCCGTGCAGAGGCTGCCAACAGGGGCTGCTGACAAGCAAGCAGGCTGTGTCCCCCACTCCCGCAGGCAGGACAGCACTGTGAGGAGCACCCCACTGGGCAGGAACCTGGCCCTGACTCCTCCCCCCTCAAGCAGAGCACCCCGAGAAGTGTCCACTACCTCTCCTGGGAAACAGCAGAACGAGGTCAGCTTCAGTCAGTTACTGGGTGCCCTGGTGATGAGGAGGTGAAGCACTGGCCTGCGTCTGAGTGTGGGCAGCTCCACAGTGTCCATGCTGTTCTCTGGAAATGTGATCAGCCGCCAACGATGCATCAGGCCCACAGTGCTGACCGATCACACACTCCGGCCCAGGATTGTCTTCAGCCAATCAGCACATGGAATTCCCTGGTGACCCATAGCTCCAGGAGCAGCACGTGACCTAGGTTGGTGAAGCAGAGGACCGGGGATTAGAGACACTGACCCGGCTAAGAGCTATGAGGCCAAGGGACATCAGGCAGCAAAGGACACCTGAGAGGCGGAGGCAAAGGGGCTGAGCCTGAGGGCCACTGGGCACAGGGAGTAGGTGGAGCCCAAAAGACCCTTAAGGGACGGGGACCACGATGAGGGCAGGGAGCCCAGGGCTGCCCAAGTCTGCAGGACAGGGCACCAGAGAGGTGGCAGCTGCAGAGGCAGAGCCGGGAGCAGATGGGGTACAAAGGACACCCAGGAGGCAGTGAGCAGGGTGGGCAGCCGGGAAGCTCCCCACGGCCCCCCACGGCCGGGGAGGAGCAGAAGCGGCACCTGGTGTGCACAGAGATCCAACTGCTACTGTGCCCACGGCTGGACCGGCAGCCTGGACCGCTGCACACAGGGCCCAGAGCGTGCACCTCAGCCGTGGAATCACCGCCAACCCAGACCGAACGCCGAGCGGGACCACCTACACCCAAAAAGTACCCAACACAGTTCAAGTCTCCAAGGAAAATAACCGCATCTCAGAGCAAAGCTCAAACATAATTCAGGAACTTTTAAAAAGCCAGCAAACAATAAAAAATTTCTTAGATCACAAAGAAGTGTGAGCACACAACCCACAATAAGATGAAAAGTCAACCAGAAACAACTCAAAACAGGCGACTCTGTTAGAATTAGCAGTCAAGAACATTCAAGAGATTATTACAATCGTGTCCTGTATGCTGGAAAAGTTGGATATGAAAAGTGTAAAAAGACCCAAATCAAATTTCTGGACGTGGAAACTCTAATACCTGAGGTGAGGAATGCTATGAATGAATTAATAGCAGATTCAACACTGGGAAAGAAAGGGTTAATGAATTTAAAGACACCAAAATAACATATTCTAAACAAAGCTCAACCAGGAAAAACTTCTTAAAATTAACAAAAACTTGGTGCCTCTAGGCTGAGCTTCAAGCAGCCTGACATTTGTGTAACTGAAATCACGAAGGATGAAGGGACATGTTTTCTTCTTTTTGAAGAAACGGCTGAGATTTCCAGTCTGATGAAAACCACACACTCACAGATTCAAGAAACCCAAGGAGCCTCAGGTACAAGAAATATATAGGCTTCTTTTGTACTGAGGGTTGATTCCAGGGTCTTTGCAATGAGCCACAGTCCCCAGCCCTCTTTGCTCTCTTAGTTTGAGATTGGGGTGTCACTGAAGTCACTAACTGCCTGGCTGTGCTCAAGCTTGACATCCTCCTGCCTCAGCTTCCTAAAGTGCTGGGATTGCAGGTCTGTGCCGCCATAACCAGCTTTTAAAAAATAAAAGAAACAGAAAGCACGTAGCCATCAACTTGCTTAACCCTAGTGATAAAGAGAATACTTCAAAAGGACCCAAAGAGGGAAAAAAACATGTCACCTACAGAGGAACAAGGACTCAAATGGCTGCGGATTTCTTACTGGGAACCCCCAAGTGAGATCACAGCAGACAACATCTTTATAGTGAAAGGGAAAGAGGGATCCACCCAGAATCCCACTGGGAGGCTTTCCTCAGAAGACAAAGGCAAGGCTGGTCCTCAGATGAGACCGGTGACCATGCGCCCCATCCCGCCCTTGGGCACGTCTGTAACAGCTGGACTTAGGCAAGGACTCTGAAAAGTGCATAGCAGCAGGGAGACAGAGTCAAATTTCAGAGGTCATCTCCAACCAGCAGCAAGGTCACAGGATTCCTCCCAAGTCACTTCGAGGGAGAGGGGGCAGCAGGGCACTGCCACCCACAGGGAAGCCTCAGGGGAGCCCTCCACTTCCTGCTCAAGAGCAGGAAGAGGTCTCCTGGTGCTCAGGGAGAAGATGGAAAACCCACATCCTCACTTTCTGCAGTCCCAACCCAGCCCGCAGGCTTCCTGCGGCAGTTTTGTAGAACCTCCATTCAGAGGAGGAGACTTCCTGCCTCACCATGGTCCCGTGACCCCAAGAAGGCCTGAGAAATCCCCTCTTTCTATGCTCTGCCACCCAGCACCCAGTTGGGCACATTCATGGCCATGCATGTAGGAAGGGTGACCAGGGCCCCGTTGTGGCCACAGGACCACTGGGCCAAACAGCACCCAGCAGAACGCAAAGCCAGAGCAGCTCCTGGGGCGACCCCCTGACTGCGTGTGAACCCTGGGTTCCAGCCTCCCCCAAGCTGCCCTAACCCGAACACCTGCTCCAAGGCGGTGCACTGTCAGGGCAGACTTGAGCACCCTCCATGCACCAACCTGGGAACGGCCCACAGGAGGCAGCTTGGAACACGTGGCTTGGAGTCAGTCGCATCTGTTGCTCGCCAAAACAGAAGAACCAACAGCTTTTCAAGTTTAAATACAGCTGAGGGTCTCCTAGCAGGATATTCAAAATGTTCCAGAAACAATCCAAAATTATATGGCATATAAAGAACTAGAAAAAAGCTCAACTTACTCAGAGAAAATAATCACTGCCAACGAAAAGATGGCAAAGATACTGAGATTATATTTTTAAAGCAATGCATTGATCTGTTTTGCGTTACTATATTGAAATATTGGAGGCAGTTTATTTTACAAAGAAGTATATTTAATCACAGTCCTGTGGCTAAAAGGCCCACATCTGGTGGTGGCCTTGCTGATAGAACCCTGGGAAACACAGGCATCACACAGCAGGAGACTCAGAGTGTGTGTGTGTATGGGTGTGTGTGTGTGTGTGTGTGCGTGTGTGTGCGTGCGCACGCGTGCGTGTGTGCCTGTACACATGGGTATTCTCTGTCTCTCTGTCTCTCTCTTCTAACAACCCTACCAGGATTCTAATCCTAGTCTAATCTTAGTCACCCCAAAACCGCCTCCAGCCAAAGTAAGCCCCACCCTGTTGTTACTTCACACTGAGGATTAAATTTCAACACGTGAACCCTTTGGGGGACCCTTAACCCAGAGCCAAACCGCGGCCAGCAGCTGTTATACTCCAACAAGCAAGTATGAACACTCTTGAAACACAAACTACAGACTGCACAGTAGAAGATATAAAGAAAAACAAATGGAAATTGTAGAACTGAAAAACACTTTTAGATTTGCAGAGAGAGATTCAGAGTAGATCTGAAATAAGGGGTTAGTCTCCTGCCAAATCTTAGCAGAAAGAGTATTGAGAAGGGTTCGGGAATCTCTGGCTGAGAGAGAAAATAGGCCGCCCTAATGCTCCTACATTGAGCTCCAGGAGGCGGAAGGGCCCCATGCTTTCCCCTGGCTTCCTCCAGAACATAACAACTGTGAGCTTCCTGGATTGGGGCAGCCAGAAGAACCAGACAGTGCCTCAGGCAGGACACACCCATAGAGTCCCCCCTTTCCAAACTGAGACCCCTGAGGCACCTTTGAGTTTTTTTTCTTTTTCATTTTTATCTGTACCGGGGATTGAATTCCCGACTGCCTGCTTGCAAGGCAGGAGCTTATGCCACTGAGGTAAATCCCCAGTCCCCCTGAGGCATCTTTGAAATGGGGAGGGACACACAGGCAATGTGACACAGCAGTCCCTACAACATATCCAGACACATGGGCGGCAGAAATGGTCCATTAAGTGGGCCCCAAAGGACACACCTACAAGGTCACTTCCATGGCTTCTTTTTCTCCTTTACTGCAATCCTCTCCCAAACCCCAACTGGTGGATTCAGCACTCCAAGAGCTATCACAGTAAGGCCTAGGAGGAGGCATTCCCTCCAGCCAGGGTGGGCAGAGGAGGCAAAGGTGAGCCAGACACAGAGAGGAGCACGGGGCAGCTGCAAGGTGACTCCCCCCTGGCCCTTGACCAGGGCCATCTCTGATCCAGCTCCTCCCAGCATGTGTGGTGTTCAGGCTCCTGCTGCCCTCGAAGAGGCCACCTGGCTCCATCCTCATGCCTGGGCATCTTCAGCTACACCTGTGTCCAGTGTCTTTCCCCCAAGGGCAAGCAGGATGGTGACTTGGGTGCCCCCACTGCACTGAGCTGGGTCCTCCTCCTCCTCAAAGTTCCCTGATGCACTTGGGTGAGGATGGGGCCTTTGGTTCCCCTGGAAGGACAGAGAGACCTCGCTCCTGCCCCAACCCTTGAATTGGGATCAGGTAGAGGGACCCGTGACCCCAGGAGGCACAGGACCACATCCACTCGAGAGTCATGGCAAGGCGTCACTCTGACTGACTCAGCCTCCACATCTTCAGTGCCCCACAAGTCTCCAGCCTTGGAACACCTGGCCCTGTCCCCTCCTTCCTGGAGGACAAGCAATGAACAAATGAACCTCCAAAGTCTCCTGTCCTTCCCAAGCCCTAGGGCAACTGTGGGGACTCCTGACCTCCATATCACCAAGACAGCAGGACCCAAATGCATCCTTTGGGCATCATCCGCTGGCCAACATCCGCCCTCCCTCACCATCGGCCATGAAGTGGGCGCCCACGTCCTGCACAGGTGACGCCCAGCATAGCTAGAACATCTGTCTCTGGTTCCCAAGGTGCCCCTCATGTCACCCTCCAGCCCAGGGGACCTCATTCTCCAGCAGCCCCATCACTGGTGGCACCACCTCCATCCCACAGAAGCTGAGTCAGGCACGACCCACATCCTCTCCATAAGCTGAAAAGGGAGCTTGCTGCAGAAGGGGCCCCCAAGGAGGAGACCCAGGGTCAGGTTGGGGGGCTGGCACCTTCCCATCATCCCCTCTGTTCCCTTTCTTTTGGCTCTGAAATGCAAACAAGCCCTCCTGGCGAGGTGTGAGGGAACAGCCCTGGGGCTGATGCATTGAGGGTGACCAGGCCCTCCTCTGCCAGCTGCCCCAGCACCTCTCTCAGGGCTGGGGTGCACTGGGGAGACTGGCTCCCTGCCATTGCCCAGGGGTTTGTATCTTGCTGTCACAGGAGGAGAAGGAGGGGCTTGGATCCTGCAGAGTGAGGGTGGGAGCCATGCGTGGGACAGCACCACGGACAGAGGCTGCCGGGGAACGCCCTCCCCCCCCACACACACACAGTG